AGGGCACAGGTACCGATGCCCCTAAGAGTGGCCCTGTACCTCCCCTCTCCCAGGGAGAGTGAGAGGCCCAAGCAGAGCAGGCCCAAGGGTGGCAGTGCCATACCCCCACCCTATCTATCTTGGAGCACAGATGGCTGATTTTCTTTTCAGATCTAACTCTGAGGTAGGAGAATCAGCAAATCATGTCCCAAAAGCAAGTACAAATTCTTTGGTTTTTGAGAGGCCACATGACTTATGCCTGGTCACAGTGATCCAGACTGATGGAGATGCCTGACCATCTGTCACGAGGGAGGAAGGGGTGGGAAAAGAAAAGTGCATTCTGATCAGAAGTGTGTCCAGCCCTACTCTTGGGCCCCACCTGGTACTGCTCCCCAGAGAGTGCAGAGCAGAGGAGATGTTGACATTTGAGCTCAGGCCTCAGGAGGACAGGAATCCCTGGGACCACGGGACCCTGTGCAGTGAGGACAGAGGGCACACTGACCACCCCACATCACCTCCACACCCTGTCAGGGTGTAGAGAGGACCCTGGAAGGCAGGGACCCTAGTTCCAGTCTGGCTGTGTCACCCACTGAAAGTGGAGCCCTTAAGCAACCCCCACCCAGGGCCTTAACTGACCCATCAGTCCAATGAGCTCTGACCTCCACATTAAGGTTGCACATACCCGGAGGGTGGCACAGAATGTGCGAAGAAATTTTTAGAATTTAATGTGTATGTACTTCTATCTAAAAATAAGAAAGAAATTCAGGTCAATTAATATTTAACATGCAGATTCACCCAGGCATCCTCACTTGGTCTGTTTGTTGGCCAGTCGTGTCCCCTGAATTAGTCAGTGCCTGGAGAGAGGTGAGGATGCTCTGTCAGGCAGAGAACTTGAGAGCTGCACCCTCGCTCTGTTGCTCGCTTTTCAATGTATTGTGACATATTGACGTCTGCATATGCCCAGTTTGTACTGTCTGATTCAAATTAAATTAACCCTCCTAAAAAAAGGACAAATGGCCTAAAAAGATTGCTGCAAAGAAACAGCAAGAAAATAGCAGACATCCAAACACATGGTTTCATCTGCCATATCATAAAGGAAAAACAAGTGTTGCCTGTTGAATGCTACAATAGAGATTTCCAAAAATGAAATCTCTTTTCATCAGGATAAAGGTGAAGTTTGAACAGTTATGGAGGAAGCAAGTTTGGGGGAAGGAGAATAATATGATAGAGGATTTGGAAAGAAAGTTTGAAAGTGTTCCCATTGTTACATATTTTGTTGCTGAAAACCTTGTGTGTTCCCAAGATCTTTCATATCTGCCCTTCAAACAACAGACCAAAAAAGAAATGTTTAATTTGCTTTAAAATCTTCTAAATGAAGAGTGTGAGTGGGTTTAAAATCCATTTGCTAAAAGTATTAAAATGCAACATATTCCAATTTCTTTGCAAGTACAACTGATTGACATGAGAAAAGATGGAAATTTGCAAGCCAATTTTGAACAAAACCTTTGCATAATTGGTGGATGGATTTGAAAATTGAAAATTAATGTCATGATTTAATGAGCTGAGCCCACAATACATTCCGTCCGTCTGGATCTAGGTACCTTCATGAGGCCTTCTTTTCAACTGTGACAGCCATTAAAACTGAATATTGAAATAAACTGAATTTAGAATGAGACACACAAATCACTGTTCCACAGAGTGTTTTCAGATTTCACAAACCAGGATTTTCAAAAATAAACAAGCATATTCAATCACATTGCTCTCATTGTGAGAACAAAAAAGGGTTTTTATTAGATGAAGTGCCTTAAAAATTACTTTTAAATATCATTTTTATATTATATTTTTCTTCATTTCTATTTATAGTTTTGTAATGTACTTAATACATATAGGTTATACATGTATAATATGCATAATATTTTTATAATATGCATATATTTTTAAATCTAAATAGGAATATATATTTATGTGTATAGTTCATGTAATTTATAAAAGTACATATATATAATTTATAGATAAATAGATACCAAGGTACCTGCTCAACATTTTTTACTGATGGGATGTGTAAACAATAAAGTTTGAGTTCAAGGATGTGGACAGTGCCTAAGGGCCCCTCAAGTCTGTCTTAACCCCAAAGAAGAGAGAATCCCAGAGAAAAGTGAGGCCTGTGCCTCTGTCACCCTCTCAGGGGGCTCAGGAGCTCCCAGCGGCTCCAGAAGCAACAGGACCTTCTGGAGGCACAAACATGTTCATGTCATTCCCTCCCAGTTCTTGCCATGTGTGTAGGCTTCCCTGCATCTCCACTGCCCACAACAGAAAATCCTAACTGCTTAGGCCAATCTACACAGCCTTTATACCTGGCCCAAACCATCTGCATTGGTCACCAGCAGGAAATAGAAGCCAAACTAGCTAATTTGAGCAGAGAGGAATTTCATGCAGGTGTTCTGTCCTTACAAAATCATCAGAAGTCTAGCGAGGCAAGCTGCACTGCCAGAGTGGCTCCCAGAAAAACATGGGCCAAATGACCCACCAAGGGAACCGCCTCCACTGGGCCTGTCGGGAAAGTAAAGAATCAGGAGCCGCTTGTGGTCTGTTGACTTTGAGAACCATCATCACAATTGATCAGGGATCAGGAAGCCGTTTTGTCAACAACCTCTGGACACCCAAGAAGTTGGACGCCAGATACTAGAAGGCAGCTGCTTTAAAAAACCTCAGTGTCTACTACAGTGCTGACCTGCAGCAACAAGCCACGTGGCAGAAGGAAGATGCTCCACCTTCCAAATCCCCAGCCCCAAGTTGATTCGGTGGACAGAACCTGGTGCATAACCAGAGCTCTAGGGGCAAGAGAGTCTGAGAAATGCGGTGTCCGGCATACATCCTCTTCCGAAATTACATTTGTTTGTTTGTTTAACTGATTTTTCTATCTTCTTTAGTGAGAGAAGCATAAGATACATTAAAATATAGGCTGGGGTTTAAAAAAAAGTCTCCTTGGAATCCCTTCTCTTGGTAGGGTAGTTATAGGACTAGGTATCCCTATCAACCAGAGAAATGGTGTATTTTGAGGTTGAAAATAAATGCTATGAATAGGCCTATATCTCTTAAATAAATTGAATCAATAATTAATAACCTTTCAAAACAGAAAGCACCAGGACAAGACGGTTTCATTGGTGAAGTGTACCACATCTTTAAGGAAGAAATGGTACCAATTCTTACAGTCTCTTCCAGAAGACAGAAGCAGAGGGAACACTTCCTAATGCATCCTATGAGGCCAGCATTAACAAACCCAGACAAAGACATTACAAGAATAGAAAACTATAGAGCAATATCTCTCATGAACATAGATGCAAAAATCCTCAACAAAATATTGGCAAGTTGAATCCAGTGATGTATAAATAGAGTTATACACCCCAACCAAGTGGGATCTATCCCAGATATTGCAAGGTAGGCTCAACATTTGAACATCAATTAATGTGATCCATGACATCAATAGGCTGATCATGGGGATGGGTGGGGCAAAGGGCACGGCCTGTGAGGCAGCTGAGAATGGAATCAGTATTCTGGGATCAGCTTCAGCTAAAAGAAATAGCTGGATGTGAACCAAAAGAGCCAACCTGCCAAGAGGGACTATAAGCCTCAGGCACAGTGTGGTAAGGCTGGGAGCCCCCTGGCCCTGAAGAACTGCTGCAAGGCTGTCCTCGGTGCCAGTCCCAGGGGAGATGGCCCGGGTTAGCGCCAGAACTGCCACAATCCAGCCCAACATTTGGCCTCCCTGTAACCTGCCCCTTACACTCAAGAAACTCCACAGTTGCCCATCCCTCCCTCCCACCCACCCTGACCTGCAGCCTCGTGGGTGAGGCCACCACACGCGGCTCACGCTGGCTTGCGGCTGCGTCCACCCAGGAGCAGGGGCATGTGTTCTTCCTTCAAAGACATGACTGCTCACCAATCTATGTGCCAGCAGGGCTGCATGGACACCCAGGGATGCCTTTTATGTCACCTTCAAGAGGGGGCACCTTGTACAACTTGGTGTAGCTTTGCTCGCCAGCCTCCCCCGGCCCTGGCTCCTCATGCCTCAGCAAAACCACAGGGCATCACAAACCGTAAGGCCAGAAGCCCTTCCACTGAGCATGACGGGGACGGGGGCAACCCACCCCTGAGAGGAGTCCCTGGCCTGAGACTCTGCCAGCTCCATCACTTCAGACCAGCACCCCCAGGCCCAGCTCTGCCACCAGTGCCCCTCCTCCCACCATGGCTGGATGCCTCCTCTGGGACCCCTGGCCCAGACCAGGAGGGACCTGGAGCCATGAAGAGGGAATGACTGGACTCCTGGACTTCCTGCCATCACCCTCCACCCTGTGGAGCTTCCTCCCTGGGGCACAGGCCAGACCCCCATGAGGGATAGCCTGTGCATGAACGAATGAGTGCAGAGCTACAAGCCCCTTCTTAAAGCCCTCCAGAGACACTCCCACCTCCTCCCCTCGAGTTAGAAGCCCCATTCCCAGGCTTGAAACATTATTGTAAAAGGAGGAAAAGAAATAAAGACAAGATCTGTACCCAGCCTCACTTCCAGTGGGCCCCTACCCTGTGCCTGTTCCAGTATGACTCCACCCAGACACATAGGAGGGGCCCTGGAGGGTCTCCTGCCCATTGGCATCCTGTTTTGCCAGGCCAAGCCCCTCACTTTCTGATGATTCTGCCAACACACGACCTCTCCTCCAGCTGGCACCTAGGTGAGAGGGACGCCAGCAACACACCTTGGTCCCAGCAAGGGCTCCCCTGCCCCCACATGGTGCAGCAGGAAGGCCACGCTGGGAGCCTGGGAGCCCCTCACATACACCCAGCCCCAGCGCCAGCCTGGCCAGGCCGCCAGCCAATGTTTCCCTGCCCCCTGCCAGAGCCGGCCCACCTGAGCTCATCCGGACACAGCAGGGGCGGAGCCTGCTGCTGTCAGGGCCACGTGCAGGGATGGAGGGCGGAGGGTGGAGAGAGGGCGGGCAGGCAGGCTGCCCTTAAAGCAGGTCTGGAGGTGAGCTGGCGCCTGGCCGTACTCCTCACCTGGTGGTAGTGAATGCAACAGCCTGCCCGCACGAGTGGACACCAGGTAGGTGCCTTTACTCTTTAAGGAGAAGAGAGGGACACTCAGCACTTTCTATGACCCTGACTCATTTAACCTGCTGTCCCCAGCTTCTCCACTTCTCCTTGGGGCTCAGAGTGAAGGCGGAGAGCAAAGGGGGACAGATCATGGATATAAGAGAGATGGTCTCAGGATCATAGATGCAGGAGTTCAGCACTTTAAGGGAACCAAATCTGTAGCCTTGGTGTACAGATGAGAGAACTGAGGTCCAGGGAGGGGAAGGGGCTTGCCTGAGGTCATAGAGACTCAGGAAGGGACTGGACATAGAACTCAGGCCTCCTGCCTCCCAGCCCAGAGCTCTGGGCCCTTCCAAGACCCTCAGGAATAGGGTGGGGGCCTTCGCTTGTCCTGCGGATCCTTGCCTGCCAGCCACGTCCTGCCTGACTGGGTCTGGTGGATGGGACAGGAAGATCAGGAGCTGGTCTTCAAGGCAAAGTGCTTTGGGGGAGACTCAGGCTTCGCTCTGGCCCCTACTTTCTCCTTTCACCGACCCGGGCTGGTAGGAGGGAGAGAGTAAGTCAGGAGAAGTTGGCAATGAAACGGAAAAGGCCATTTGCCAAGTACCAGGATTTCCCTGCCTCTGGAGTCCTCAGGGACAAAGAAAGAGATTCGAGTCAGAGCAGGAAGCGGGAGGGCGTGGGAGGGACCCACAAATGGGACAGAGCTGACCGGAGCCCTCCCCACCCCTGTCCACCCCAACACACCCACATGGACTCCCTACTGCCTCCAGCAGGAAAGAGTGAGGGAGAGGAGTGTGCTGGTGGGGGCCAAGGAGGGGGCAGCATCCAGAAATGAAGGGCACAGCCCTGCCCTGGGACTGTGACTCCCGGGCATGGTAAATGCGAGAAGAGTTTGAAGAGCCTACCTAGGGCTGCCTGCCTTTGCTCAGCACCAGGTCTGTCGCATGTGGTTCCAGAATCCCAGAAGGGTCTTAAATCTGTGATGTAGCAGCGTAGGGTAAGAGTGTGGGACTATGCAGACACGACCACCTGGGTTCAAACCCCAGTTCCACCACATGTAGGTTGTAGGACCTTGGACAAATCCCTCCAGCCCCACGGTAATGGTACTGCCCTCAGAGAACTGTCAAGAAAGTGTAATGAATTCAGTTGTGTCTGTTATTATCATATCCCCATTATACAGATGGGACAACTGAGGTCTGCCCAGAGAGAAAAGGGCACTTGCCTGGGGTGGAACCAAAGGTGTCAAAATCTGTAGGCAGGCGTCCTGGGTCCTGGTCATGGGGGGACACCTAGCCCCTCAGTGAGCTCTGCAAAGCAAGTAACCCCAGCCTCCTCTGTGGGGCCCAGCCAGAAAACCCTGCAGGGGGCTCTCAGATCTTGTCCCAACAAACCCAGGCCACTTGGAGCCTGTGTGGAAAAAGCCACAGCTCTGGCCCTGTGTCCTCGGCTGCCCCGGGAAGGAGCTCAGAGGCCGGCTCCCTTCCACTGCCATTTATAGACATGCTTCCCGTGGCCAGAATGCGCTGCCCCTCCAGGACCAGCCGAGGAGAGGCCTGGCATTGGGCCTGCAGAAGCCATGGTGAGGGGAGAGGGGTGAGGGGCAGAAAGGGGGCCTGGCTTTTCTCATTAAACTTACTGAGCGACCTTGCACAAACCATGCTCCCTCTCTGGCCCTCAGCTGTCCCCCTGCATTAGACCTCCGTGTGGCATAAGGAGTTAAGATTCCAGAGTCCCACAGGCTGGGTTTGATTCCAGCTCCACCGTTATTCTGGATGTGTGGCCTTCACAGCTTTCTTAACCTCTCTCTAGTCTCAGTATCTTCATCTGTAAAGTGGACTGATAACAGGACACAGTACTTCCTGGGGCTGTGAGAAGAGTGACTGAGTCACCAAATGTAACTCACATGTAACCGCGGGGATCAGCGCCTGGCACATGGTCAGTGCTCAGTAAGCGGGTGCCACTATCATGCAGGTGTCATACTCGGTGAGCCCTTATTTCTAAGTACTATTTAGAATTGTCTAACTAGCTGCCTTCGCAAACAGCACCTCATTGGTTCCATAGCACTCTCTGGGAGGGTCCAGGCCAGGAAATCTTATTCTCATCTCACAGATGAAGAAACTGAGGGTCAGAGTCACACAGAGGAGCTGTGTGAGCTGGGGTTCAAATATTCAGATTCCAGAGTCCACTTGCCCCAGGCTGGTCTCAAATGATTTTTCCAGCACTAAGGTTTGACTCCACAGCAGACTATAGAAGAGGCATCTTGGAAAAGGGGAAAAACAGAGTTGGGGAGTGTCATGGGAAGTAGGCAGCAAAGGTCAGAGCAAGCCAAGGGAGTACGATCAGCACGTCCCAGCTCCACACGGTTTTCTTGGCAGCCTCAGTCCCAGAACCTCTTACCCCCTACCAAGCCCCACCTATAAGAAACTAGCACGTTGGGGGCAGACATGGTGGTTCACACCTGCAATCCCAGCACTTTGGGAGGCCGAGGCAGAAAGATTGCTTGAGCCCAGGAGTTCAAGACCAACCTGGGCAACATAATGAGACCCCATCTCTACCAAAATAAAAATTTAAAAAAATTAGCCCGTCATGATGGCATGCACCTGTAGCCCCAGCTACTCAGGAAGCTAAGGCAAGAGGATCACCTGAGCACAGGAGTGCAAGGCTGCAATGAGCTACGACCATGCCACTGCACTCCATCCTGGGCAACAAAGTGAGACCCTGTCTTTAAAAAGAAAAAAAAAAAGAAAGAAAGAAACTAGCATGTGGCATTAGGGTTAGACAACAGGAAGAACTCTTCACAGTAAGGAAAATGAGAAAGTTGGGACATCCCTTTCCCAAATCAGCCTCCAGGAAATGAATATCATCTGATGATGCCACTTCTAAGCTTAATACTTTTCTGGGTCAGCCACAGTGGCTCACCCTTATAATCCCAGCACTTTGGGAGGCCAAGGCAGGAAGATCACTTGAACCAGGAGTTTGAGACCAGCCTGGGCAACATAGCAAGACCTCATCTCTACAAAAATTAAAATTAATAAATATAGCTGGGTGTGGTTGCACATACCTATAGTCCCAGCTACTCAGGAGGCTGAGGCAGGAGGATTGCCTGAACACCAGGCATTCAAGGTCACAGTGAGCTATGATCATGCCACTGAATTCCAGCCTGGATGATAGAGTGAGACCCTATCTCTAGGGGGAAAAACCATTTCTGTGGCCCCACCACCCTCAGGGTTGAGTCAGCAGCCCGGAGCCAAGCCTGCCTCCCCTGCCCCATCTCTTCCTCCATCTACCCCAGATGCTGCTCTGTTTCCTGGGTGCTCTGTAACGCCTTCCCTGTCTTCCAGCCCTTTGCGTAACAGTCCCCTCTACCCTCCCTCCTCACCCCGACTTTAGTTATCCAGCTACCTCTTGTTCTTCCTTCTGCCTCCCTCTGCACGTCCCTTCCTCTGGAAGTCCTGTCTGACCTCCCCGCCAGCACCTACAGAGCCCCCTCCACTTCCCCTCCTCCCTAGTGACACTGTTAAGGTTGTTCACCTGCTAACTTGTCTGCTTCAACAACTAGTGTAAGGGCAGGGGCCCAGTCCTGCTCTGACACTTGGTGGCAGTGTGACCTTGGTCAAGTTACTTACCTCTCTGTGTCTCGATTCTCTTGTTGTAAAATGGGATAGTAATAGTACCTACCTCATAAGGTTGTCATGAGGATTTTAAAAGACTTTATGTATAAATACCAGGACCTATGTGCATAGTAATTACTCAATAGATATTAGGTAGTATTTATTTAATAAATATTCCTCGGACGTAGTAAATATCCAAATATCTACTGAAGTTATTTTATTTAATGATCACTTGCAAAATGCTTATTCTGTGCCAGGCACTGTTCTAAGCATGTTATAAATATTAACTCATTTTATAAGTAAGGAAACTGAGGCACAGAGAAGTTAACTAACTTGCCCAAGGTTTCACACAAGCTAGTAAGTGGTGGAGCCAGACTGTAAACCCAGGCAGACTGGCGCCAGCATCCACACCTTTAAGGAATAAATAAAAAATATGGCCAGGCGCAGTGGCTCACACCTGTAATCCTAGCACTTTGGGAGTCCAAGGTGAGCGGATCATTTGAGCTCAGGAGTTCGAGACCAGCCTGAGCAAGAGCGAGACCCCATCTCTACTAAAAATAGAAAGAAATTAATTGGCCAACTAAAAATATATATAAAAAAATTAGCCGTGCATGATGGTGCATGTCGGTAGTCCCAGCTACTTGGGAGGCTGAGGCAGGAGGATTGTTTGAGCCCAAGAGTTTGAGGTTGCTGTGAGCTAGGCTGACACCACAGCACTCTAACCTGGGCAACAGAATGAGACTCTGTCTCAAAAAAAAATATGCCCTTGCATGGGGGAAGAGCAGGCAGGGGCTTCACCTACAGAAGGTGCTCAGTTCCCACTCCCCGCCTCTTTCAGGTCCCAGAAGCTCCTGGTTGGCAAGTGACATCTCTGGGATATCAATGGGGCTAGTTGGAAGCCAGAGGTAAACCAACCGCTGAGGTCACCATCCCTACCATGTCCCAGGTGATGTCCAGCCCCCTGCTGGCAAGCGGCCACACGGTCACCTTGGCTCCCTGTGAAGAACCCAGGAGGGCACTGCACCCAGTACCCAGCCCCAACCTGCTGCCACAGTGTTCTTACTACACCATGGAAGGCTGGGGAGCCCAGGCCCTCATGGCCCCCATATCCTGCAAGGGGCCCCCCAACAGGCTCCAGCAGGCCACACAGTCTGAGGCCAAAGCCAGCTGCCTCCTGCAGTCCCCTGGGGAGCAGGCCTCAGGGACCCTGGAGGACCTTGACTCCTACATTGACTTCTCGCTGGAGAGCCTCAACCAGATGATCCTGGAACTGGACCCTACCTTCCAGCTGCTTCCCCCAGAGACTGGTGGCCCCCAGGCCAAATCTGCCCAGAGCACCACTTCAAGGAGAAAGAAGGAAGAACCTGAAGCCTTAGGTAAGGACCTGGGGCAGTGCTAGAGGGGAACTTGGGACCAGACCTCATGAGAAAGAAGGAACTTCCTGTGGAATCAGAGAAGGGGACACCGTCCTATTGAGAGATGCTATGCAACCCTAAATAGGTTACTAACCTCTCTGTTTTCTCTGCTACACCAAAGGGATAAATATAAGTTTCCCTCACTCTTAAATTTTATTTTGTTTCTGAGTTTGGAAAGTGATAGATACCTGTTTTATATAATTTTTATGAGAACTTAAATAAGCTAACATATATATAAATATTTTGTACAATACCATGCATATAAGTAAGAGCTCAATAAATGTGAAATCCCAGAACCCCACAGTCCTAGATCCTAATCTAATTTCAGGGCCCCCTGAAAGTTTTGTAGGGTTGCTCTATGGGCCCCTGTCCCTATTTAGGGGAGTGTCTCTCAGGCAAGGCCCAAGCTAGGAATAGTGGGATTGGAGAGACATGGAATCCAATCTGTTTGGGATGGGAAACCTGTTGCGTTCAAGCAGTGGTACACTGGTAGGTCTTTAACAACTGGCTCCCTGGTTGTAGGCAGGGGTAGAGGAAGCCTGATTTGAAGCGTCTGCCCATTTCCACAGTGTAAATTCTCCCACCATGGCCAATTTCCAGCTCCCAGCATGACGGAGTCGCTGAACGTGGACTTGGAAACGTGTGCAGTAGCAGGCTGTTACACAGCCTCTCCCCCACACCGGCACAGTACACGTAAATAACCTCGAGAACACAGATAATAGCAAAATGAAGTAAAATAATTGGGATGTGATGGATTTTGAGTATTTACTACCTTTGTTTTTGATACAAGTTACTTCATTATAAATTTACATACTATAATTTTTAATAATGGCTGAGTTTAGCAACTCGCTGCACAAAACCCTAAAAAGTTTAACAATCAGCTCTTAACAAGCTGGTACAAGTCACTCCAGTGCACCACCAAATCCAAGGGAATCCAGAAATTCCTACATGTGGCTTCAGTTTCCCAAATAAAGAGTTTCAAGTATACTCTGAGGATGAGGGTCAAGGAACAGAAGCCCCATTGGACAGGTTGGAAGACTGAGGCTTCTAGGGGTGAGGGGGTGCGGTTAGGATTAGAGACAGGACCCATGAGAACCTGCATTATTGAACACTTATTATATGCAAGGCACTGTGCTGAGCACTTTATACAGAATCTTCAATCCTTCCAATCCAGCCCCAGGAGGTACGAATTTTGTCCCCATTTTACAGATAAAAAAACTGGGGTTGATGGGATTGAGTAAGAAGCCAGTCTAGCCTAATAGCTGGCGTCAGGCAGGCCTTACACAAGCTGTTTACTTCACTTCTTTTTGTCTCAGATTCCTCATGTATAAAATGGAGATAATAAGAGTACTTACCTCCAGGGGTGTTGTGGGGATTAAAAGAAATAACACTTGCTGGCTGTTTATTACCAACCCTGGCACACCGTAAGTCATTATAAATGGTAGCTGTTTTATTAAGCAGTAGGGTTGCACGTAGGGCCAGCCCCAGGGTAGGTTTGGGCTTTGGGGTGGAGGCCAGCCCAGCGCCCAGGTCCTCTGGTGCCCCGGGCTCCTGGTCTCCTGCCTGCTCCCCTCCTCCCACCAAGAACTGCCTGCCAGGCCCATAAAGGAGCCGCCTCCGTCCCTCTAGAGTCTTCCTGCTTCTCAAGGCCAGTCATGGGCACGTCACTGCAGAACAGGCGTCTTGGGCCTAATTACTGTTGGCAGGAGCAAGCCCAGGGTTTTAATGTTCGTGCCCCACGGCAGGAGTTCCATTCAAGGCCAGCTGGGGTGAAACCAGTCTCTGAGGAACGTCCACAAATGTGAGGTGAGGGTTGGTGACAACTGGGCCCTTCCTCCATGGAAAGAGCTGAGGACCAGCATGGGGATGATGGGCAGCGGGCTGCATCCTTGATGCCCTGGGCACAGCTGGCCATGTGAGCATGTGTCCCCCCAACTATGGGGACCAGGGAGCGCAAAGGGGCTGGCAGTGGCCAGAGGCTCCTAAAGAAGCTGCCTAGCTCTGCCCTAGCCCCTGCTGGTGGAGAAAAAAATCCCCTCTCCTCTGTCCTCTGCCCGGGCACCTCCAATGCCAGGGGGCTCACTACCTCCTCAGACAGCACCGCTGGGTCAGTCCCCCATTAGGAAGCTCTCCACCATCACTAAGAGCAGAGGGTACCTGCATGTCGCTGTGGTCAGCTACCATCTTTCTCATGCATCTTGGCCTCCTGAAACCCCCCTGCAGACCACTGCTACTGGTAACAAAGCTGTCACAGCCCATGGCAGTGTAACTAACTCTGGGCATTGTGGTGAGTTCTCTTACATCTAAATGTATTCAACGTGAAGGAACCCCACCATTTTGCAATCTCACCCTTCCTACTTTTGGGGTGTTGAAGGAAAGACATTCTAACATTATGGTGCTAGCCGATGTTCACTGTCCTGTTTGTCCTAACTTGGCAAAATTAAAAAATTAAACATTGGCAATCCTATTTTGACTCCTCTCCTAAAAATTTATAGATTTTTAAAAAAAAACTGGCCTGTGTAATACATGATCCCAGTGTCTAACCTGTGAAGGAAATAGTGGAAACCTCATTTGACAGATGAAGAAGCTGGGGCTCAGGGAGGAGAAGTGATGGCCTACAGTCACACAGCCAGTGGGTGGTAGGTCAGGCCTCAAACCCAGGGCTTCCGGGCTCCAAAGTCCATGTTCTCGTGTTTCTCCCCTTCTGGGGTCTAGTCTCCGTCCTCTGGGGCATCACAGGGTGCATCTCTTGGGAGGCAGCCTGCAGGCTCCTTCTGAGACTCCAGCCCCCAGCACCTGTCAAACCGTCCTCAGGCTTCCTGCCCCTGCCTCTTGTTCACCTTCCTTTAGGCTTGTCCTAAGGGGGTCCCCATCCCATAGGGGAAGCAAACACCATTTCCCTGCCTTTGTCCTTTCTGCCACCCCCTCATCCCATCTTTGGAACAGGCCTCCACATTTCATTTTCCAGCAATTTCTGCCAGGCAAGGCAGTCTGCCAGTCCCAAGTGAAGGGTGTTTAATAACTGTCTCTCCACCCCCCACCCACAGGCCCTCCTTCCGCCTGCCTGGTGCTGGCACTGGCACCGGCACCCTCCCAGCACTGCTCAGACTTGCCCCAAAGGCCGGTAAACAGCAATGTCACCCCAGTGATAGAGGTGCTCCAGCTCCCCGCCCCTGTCACATCCACTTCAGGACAGCAGGGGAGTGACGACTGGCACCAGGACTGCCCCCTCCCCTCCTCCCCCCACTGGCTCAGTCCCACCAATGTCATTGGTGGGTGTTTGGATGACCCAGTGAGTAGGGGGTCCAGAGCTTCACCAGACCAAGAGACCCTCCCCAAAGCAGCCAAGTATCTTCTCCCGGGGCAAGGCCTTGGAACAGGGGCCCCTAAACAGAGCTCAGGAGCAGCAGTCAGGTTCCTTCACTCCCTGGCTGTGCAGCATCAGATAATTCACTTAATCTTTCTGAGCCTTCATTTCTCATCTGTCACATGGCAGTTAGCCTATTCCCTACTCCAGTAGATGTGTGGGGAGGGTTAAATGAGCTAAGACAGATAACACGTTTGTGGTGGTGCTGGCACATGGTGCTCGATAAATACCAGTCTTTATTAAAAATTGTCATACAGTAGTGTTAGCTCCATCCACACTTTTCTCCAAGCCTCAGTTTCCTCCTCTATAAAAATAATGCCTGCCCAGCCTAAGGGCTGTTAGGAGGCTCACAGGAGATTGTGGGTATAAACATTATTAAGTCCTACAAAAATAGAAGCTGTGCTTGCCAGCCTTCCAGAAGAATCCACCCCATTCCAAGATCTATTTCAGAGCCCACAAGACAGCGCCCCAAATATTCTCCTCTTGCCTTCATCTTTCTAAGAAAGGGGATCCCCACCTTAGCTAGAGAGAGGGCTCCATTTAGCCAATACTGTCCCCCCAAGCAGGCAGGTAGGAAATGCTCCTTCCTCGAGACCCATCAGAGGTTAGGCTCCAGGCTCCATTCGTCATTGTATTTAATCCTCATCACAACCTTGGGAGGTTGGTTTTAGACCCTCACTTTGCAGAGTAGGAAACTGAGGCTCAGAGAGATTAGAAAGGTTACCCAATGCCTCTCTTGGCTGGAAAGAGCCAAAGCCAGGACTCACCCCGGGTTTGTCTGCCTACAAAGCCAGGCTCTTCCTCCACCGCCTGAGCAGCAAGCCCAGGTCAGCGCGCCAGCTCATCTGACGCAATGCCCAGCCCCACCGCAGCCCAAGCAGGCTCAGACAGAGGCAGTAGCCTCCAGCAGGACCCTACCCAGAAGCCGGTTGGTGCAGGCTGGCCCTCGCAGCCTTGACGTGGGGATGGTATATGTGTCAGAGCCCAGGGAGGGTGGGAGGCCAGCAGACAGGAGCTGAGGGTGCAGATTCTCCCTGCCTGCCTCAGCTCCCATCCTGGGAGGCTTTCTCCAGAAGGGAGCAGCTGGTTAACCCCCACCTGCCACCACGCTTGCTGGAACAGCACCAAGGACAATTCCTACCCCCACAAGCGAGGAGGCAGGTGTCCATCTTCACCAAGGGGAGCACCCCAGGACACCCCACTTAGGGATGACCTATGGAGCAGGAACAAAGTCTCAGAATCCAGGAGTGCCCTGTCTGGGCAAAGGAAAGAGCCTGCAGCCTGGGCAGTGTTGGCTGACCAGTGCTCATGCTCCAGCTAAGAGCTGCTGATGGGTCCACAGCCCAATGATGCGCAAGCCCTGCCCTCAGGGAGCGCCCGCTCTAAAACGGTGTTCTCAGACTGTACAACACACCCAGATCCCTGGGGCATCTACCCAAATTGTCAACTCTTGATTCCATAGGCCTGGGGTGGAGCCCAGGGAACGTGGTGCTGCTGGGCCCCAATCACAGTGGGGAGGCTCCACTCACACCCGAATCACCTGGGGAACCGAAAACAAGCAAACAAACCTGGGGCTGGCCTCACCCCTGCAGATTCCAATCTAATTGACCTGGGATGCAGCCTGAGCATTGAGCTTTTAAATGCTGCCCTCGTGTATCACCAACCTGGAGAACCCCTGCCTTCATTATGGGTACAGAGAAACAGCTTCCACACACCCTGAGTAGCAGAGGTGTCAGGTGTCCCTGGTGCATGCCATCGACCTGGGAAGTGGGGCAAAAATAAAGGAGAGGATTTCCCAGTTTTTGAGTACCTACTATGTGCCAGGCCCAGTGCTACACTGCCTATATTAATCTCATTTCGTCCGTACTGTAACGCCAAGAGGCTGGGAAGAGTCACCCCCTTTTACAGGTGTGGAAACTGAGGCTGCAAATGGTGAAGTTACTTGGCCAAGCTCTCTCAGCTAGTAGGTGACAGAGCCAGATCTCAAAGCCAGATCTGTCTGATTCCATGGCCAGTGTTCATTCCATGGCATCTCCCTACCAAAGGGAAGACCTCACAGAAAGGGGGACCTTGGAACTGGGCCCTGAAGTTAGAGTTGCGTTCTAATCCTGAAGAGCTTCTCCTCTCTGGGCCTCAGTTTCCTCATCTGTGTAAAAGAGGGGGGACGAGCTAGTCTTGAAGATCCTTCCAGAGTTTCTGTTTTGAGTCTAGGCTCCCTGGTCTCACCAATGCTCTGCTTCTCTCTCCAAAGATATAAAGTATATCGAGGTGACCTCCACCAGATCAAGGTGCCACGATGGCCCCCAGCGCTGCTCCAACCCATCTGTCACCCCGCCCTTCGGCTCTCCACACAGTGGCGGCCTCCTCCTTTCCAGAGACGTCCCCCGAGAGACCCGAAGCAGCAGCGAGAGCCTCATCTTCTCTGGGAGCCAGGGCAGGGGACACCAGCGTCCCCCTCCCCCTTCAGGGAGCTCTTCTCCTCACCCTCCACTCTCCCCCAACATCTCTATCCCTTGCGTGGGGGGCAAGGCCTCAGGCCGCCATGGCTTGAACTCCCCACTGGTGTCTTCTCCAGGCCTGGAGAAGGGGCTGGTGGGCCTGGCCCCACAGCGGGGCAGCAGGGTCTCTGTGCTGTCGGCCAGCCCAGCGTCTGACGTCAGCTACATGTTTGGAAGGTAGGTTCTATACCTTCTGGCATTGCCTCCACACACATACACACAGATCCTAAAATCACAAGAGGGGCTTCCTGCTCCGTCTGAGCAAAATCTGGGCTTGCACCAAAACTGAAAGAGTGAATGTTCTCTTTTATGCCATCACAGCCATTCAGCTCTCAAGCTATCCTCAAGCTTAGAATATAATTCAACATACAAAAATCTTGACATATATCTATCTACCTTTTGGGAAAAGATCTATTGCATTAATGAGACTCACCTACATCCTTTCTAGCCTCTTACAAGCCATCTCAAGGAAGGGTTTTATAAAACCCTAAAACACAAGGATATAAATAGAATTTGGGTGCCTGAGATATACCTTTTAGGAATGAAAAGGCTCCTTCCTCTTTGTGGTGGGCAAAACGTAGCAAAGGAGGGAGGCAAACCTGCCTGGGCATTTATTTACAATCGTCACTGCTCAGTTCTCTGTAGGTCTCACAGTAGAACTGTGCACACATGTGTACACACACACACACACACACACACACATCTTGCCTCAAGAAGACCAAACCACAGGACCTCTGTCTCCTACACCACCTCCAAAGCCACTGGCCCAGGCAGTCCCTGGCAAAGAGACTGGGAATTCTACAGCCTTGCCCATTGGCATGGGCCTCTGCACTCAGGAGGAAGTCTGGCCGGATGCAGAGCTGGCCTCCTGCTCCTCCTCCCGCTGGGGAATTCCCTCTGCACCAGCCTCGGGCACAGTCTAGCCCAGGTCCAGCACATCTGCAGGGCTCTTAGAAGCGGTGTGGAGGTGGCAGGAGAGGGGGAGCCTGGTGCAACAGCTCCGTCAAACCTGCCTGGCTGGGAAAGCAGAGGGCATCTGGGCCTGCCTATGCCCACAAGCCTGCAGGGGTCAGCCCATTGGCTACTTTACTTGACGGAAGACCCTACCATCCAGGGACATTTCTGTATCCCTTAGGGATCAGGTGGGCATGCCCTTTACTATGGGCTGTGGAGGAATAGTATATGCAGTGCCCTATTTGGCCAAAGCCATAGGCACCCAGATTATTAGATCCACAGCCTGGCTATGGTCCCTGAGTGTTCACCCCCACATTCTAACACCCTATATGGTGCTCTCTCCCCCTGCAGCAGCCAGTCCCTCCTACACTCCAGCATCTCTAACCATCAGTCGTCTTCTAGATCCTTGGAAAGTCCAGCTGGCTCTTCCTCCAGCCTCCACAGCCTTGGCTCCGCGTCCCTGTGTACAAGACCTGGTGACTTCCAGATTCCCAGCAACCCCACCCAGAGCATGGGCCATCCCAGAGCACCCCACTCCTCACCACTGCCCAAAGAACATGCCAGCAGCTGCCCCCCATCCATCACCAACTCCATGGTGGACATACCCATCGTGCTGATTAACGGCTGCCCAGAACCAGGGTCTCCCCTACCACAGAGGACCCTAGGACACCAGGGCTCTGTCCAGCTTGGAGCTACACCTCCCAGCAACCCCTGTCCAGCCATGAGGAGCCACAACCAGACCCTGCCAGATGCCCCCTCAACCACCTGCCCGGAGGGTATGTTGTAAACCAATATCTCAAGCATTGTAAGGTTTGGCTGGGGGAAGAGACAAAACACCAGTGGGTTCCTGCAACAGCCAGTCAACACATTTACTGTGTGCCCAGCACTGGGCCAGGCAGTGAAGACACCGGGGAACAGTCTAGAAAGAGACAAAAGCTAAGCACCACTGTAGAGTAATATAAACACAGAGGTAGAGGGATGTTCTAAGTCTTTCGGGACCACAGAGGAAAGAGTAATTCTTTCGGTCTGGAGAATAGAGGAAGCAACATCTGAGCTGGATCTGGAAAGAGGATCAGGAGTTCGTGGTTAGAGGAGAGGATAGGCATTCCCAGCAGAGAGAACAGGGAATCTACGGTCACAGAGGCCCGGAAGCACATGGTATGTTTAGGAAATGCCTAGAATGTTGGGCGCAGGGTGAGATCTTTGAGAGTAATTTAGAGTCAGATTGTAAAAGGCCTTGAATGCCAAGTTAAAAAAGTAGATGTAGGCCAGGCACAGTGATAGTGGCTCATGCCTGTAATCCTAGCATTCTGGGAGGCCAATGCCAGAGTTCCTGGCTTAAGGCCAGGAGTTCGAGTCGAGCTTGAGCAAGAGTGACACCACGTCTCCACAAAAAATAGAAAAATTATCCAGGTGTGGTGGCACACACCTGGAGTCCCAGCTAATCAAGAGCTTGAGGCAGTAGGATCACTTGAGCCCAGGAGTTTGAGGTTGCTGTGAGCTATGATATCACGGCACTCCAGCCCAGGCCACAGAGTGAGACTATGTCTCAAAAAAAAAAAAAAAAAAAAAAAGTAGATGTTTACCCTTTAGGCACCAGGGAACCATCAGAGAGTTTCAAATGGGGGAGAGATGGGTCAGAGGGGCACGCTCAATGGACCACTCTGGCAGCTGCAGGCAGATGGATTGCAAAGGCAGTGGGGGTGGAGGACAGAGGACACAGCCAGGCAACTTTTGGGATGTGGAAGCAGCAGGCTTAATGACTGACCCACGAAGAGGGAGAGGGCGAGTCAGTCCCAACTCTGACGTGCATGAATGACGAGAACACAGAGGGGGCGGACGGGGTAATGGAGACAATGCATTCCAATTCAGACAGCTGAAAACCACAAAATAGCAAACACCCTCCTTCCCGTAGTCTGCAACTACAGGCGTCCAAAAAGAACAAAATCAACCAGGCCCCACAGCAGTAAACACAGAAGCTAAGCCTTGGCACCCCCGGGTGTACATTTCCCACGAGCAGAACCCCCTGCCAACACTGTCCCTGCTCCCCAATCCCACGGCCAGCTCTCAGCCCTCACTTGGCCGCTCACTGTGACGCTCACAGCCTTCAAGGCGACCCTGGAGAGTGTGAAGTGCTCACTCCCACTCACAGAGCCATGCCAATGCAAGCAAGAGAAAATGGCACGTCAGGTATGCCTTCGAATCTGCTGTGATTGCTTTCCTAGGACAAATCATTTACAGATTTTAGTTTTTGGTTTTTTTAGGAGTTACTTAAGTATAACTGGTTACAACACTCCATTTCAAGATTTTGAAATTGAGAACCACTGCTCTCTGCCTTAGAGACCCAGGAAAATGGGCATTTTGGCATGTCAAAGAGCACATTTACTTAGCCTAATGATGTTCCCATCCTGCTTTGGTGATGCCGCAGGGCAGCACTAATCATACCCTGGGATCTTGTCAAATTCTTCAAAATATTCTCAAAACAAAGTTCACTCAATTTCATAGGCTATTGGAGCATTAAAGACCCTCAGATGTTGTTTAGTCCACTCGGTCCCCTCCGGGCTTCAGTTGTCCCAAATCAGAGTCAAGAACCCCCAACTTCCGAGGGCATGCTCTCCTGCCCAGACCTGCTGTTTTCCTCTCCTGCACCTTTTCTTCCATCTTATTTTCCAACCTGAACAGACCCCTAAGAAACTTGTAGGATTATTAGAGGAGGGAGAATGTGAAACCAAACATGATGCATCTGAGAATTTTGTATTATCCCTTATTTCAGTCCCCACCAGGCAACAGTAGATTTGAGAAAATGTTCCTCACCAAACTGAGGTTTTATTTGTTCTTTATTCATTACCAAGGATACATGGGCACTTCTAAGTTCTAGATGTGCCAAGTCCTAGAATCCTTCTGTTTGATTTTGCCTCTTGGAGGCAGTTTGGAAATACAGTGGGGTTGGGTCCAGGCTGGTGTTTGAATGGGACCCCTGGGCAGAGAAGCAGGGAAGGGTCTCCAGCCTTCTCTGGTGGACATCTCTCAGCTCCCCTCTGTCCAGCCTACAGGGTCCCTCTTCTCTCTCCAGGTCCCACCAGGGACATGCAGCCCACCATGAAGTTTGTGATGGACACATCTAAATACTGGTTTAAGCCAAGCATCACCCGAGAGCAAGGTAAAAGGAAGAGCAGGTGACCTGGAGTCGAGTCCAGGCCCTGCACCCCACATCAGGCAGATGGGGGTGTGGGTCATGGCAAATAGAGATCCAGGGAAGGGGGGTATTCTGCTGATCATGAGTAAATGGGAACTAACTACCACAAGAATGGCAGAGATTGGACAGTAACATCTGCTCCATGAAGGCCCTGTGGTGCTGGGGACAGAGGGTGTCCAGGTGGGCCAGTATCCATGTTTGACTCAAGGATTGTTCCAGCAATCGAGCTGCTGAGGAAGGAGGAGCCAGGGACTTTTGTCATAAGGGACAGTTCTTCATACCGAGGCTCCTTTGGCCTAGCCTTGAAGGTGCAGGAGGCGCCGGCATCTGCCCAGAACCAACCAGGTACGCACCCTGTTTCTGTGCTCACTCAAGCCCTCACTGGGGCAGGACAGTGTGGTGAGTTCTAGCCCTGACTGTGATGCTAGCACTCAGGGTGGCCTCAGGGCAGTCCCATAAGGACTCCTGGGAGGAGGGTCCACTTCAGATGCCCCCCAGCACTGAGGCACCGTGAAAAACTCTTTTCACAGCAAACCTGAGTTGCTTCTGCTTTCCCGAGTCCCCCATATTCCTTGGTCTACCCTCATGGGAAGAGAAGGAGGAAGTTCCTAGCCCTCTCTAGGCTGCTCTCTTCTGGGTCAGATGGGATTTATCTCCAAGGAACCTAATGTGTGGTCACGCATGTGTATGCTAGCTTATATGATGTGCTCTAGCTTGTCACACGTGTGTGTGATAGCTTATCACATGCTTTCCTGTGACCTCCCATGCACATTTGCTAACTCAGCACATGTTTATGGGGCGTCCACCATGCAGTAGGGGAGGCATCCAGGATACAGAGGAATCAGACCCAGACGCCACCTCACTGGACAGGTCGATGAAAACAGATAATTACAGTCCGAAGTGCCTGGTCATAGCACCTCACCTAAACCCTGGGATCATACCTCTCACTTAATGGATGAGGTAACTGAAGCCCCAAGAGTTAGTTAATGACCCCAGAGCAATTAAATGATAGAGGTAGGCTGAAAAAGCCAAGCTTGTGGTCTTTGTGCCCGCCATGGAAATAAAAAAATGACTTCTGGTGGGGAGGGGCTGTTGGTCGTCAAGGAAACTTCTGGAGGGGCAATGAGCCCAAATCAAAGAGGAAGCTGTGGGCCAGGCGAGCAGAGTCAGAAGGGCTCGTCCACCCTCCCAGGGCCAGCCAGGCTCCAGCAGGGACGACCTGGATGTGGTGGGCAAAAGGAGAGAGAAACCAGCTGAAGAGTCAGGGTTTGATCTAAACAGTAATGAAGAACCACCCCTGATGACTCTTGACCAAGAGCCAGGTTTTCTGAAGTGGCACGACTGGACACAGAAGCCTTTGAGCAAATGTGTTGGCACCTCCCTTGTGGGCAGCCTGGAAAGTAGGGTTCCTCCCTGCCATTCCGCCCGGAGCCGGGGGATGGACGAGATAACATTCGGGTGGACCCCGGGAGGTGTGTCAGGGAACGAGTTGGTCAGTGTTTGGCCAGCGCCGGGCTCTGAAACTCCCATCTGCGTGCATCATTCTTTCTCTGTCCAGGCGAGGACAGCAGTGACCTTATCCGACACTTCCTCATTGAGTCTTCTGCCAAAGGGGTGCATCTCAAAGGAGCAGATGAAGAGCCCTACTTTGGTGAGCCTCCCCAGCCTCCAGGCCCTCACCCTGGGAGGGGGCAGCAGGGGTTCCCTTCTTCTGAACTGCAAGGGTGGGCTGGGGAAGCCCCACTCACGCAGGCTGCCTGTTTCCTGCAGGGAGCCTCTCTGCCTTTGTGTGCCAGCATTCCATCATGGCCCTGGCCCTGCCCTGCAAACTTGCCATCCCGCAGAAAGGTAGGTCTGGGCCCCAAGAAGGCAATGTCAGGGTGCTGGACCTATTTGTTCTCACCAGAAAGGCCCCTGGTGGTCATGTCCACCTTGTTTATGGATTATTTTGGTGTCATGGTTAAAAATGCATGCTCTGAAGTTGATCAACATCTCCACTTTCTAGCTGTGAGAATTTGAGACTGTTAACCTCTCTGCACCTCAGTTTCCTCATCTATGAAATGGGAGCAATCCTCATCATAACTACTGACAGAATTGGTGTGTGGATTAAATGAGACAGCTCAGGCAAGGCTTTTAGCACAATGCCTGGCACAGAATAGATTGATAAATAGTAGCCTTCTTCAAAAGGATAAAAGAGCCCAAATCAAACCTTTGGAGAGGTAGCTGGGTGTGGTGTCTCATGCCTATAATCCTAGCACTCTGGAAGGCCAAGGCAGGAAGATGGCTCAAGGTCAGGAGTTCGAAATCAGCCTGAGCAAGAGTGAGACCCTGTCTCTACTAAAAATAGAAAGAAATTAATCAGCCAACTAAAAATACATAGAAAAAATTAGCCGGGCATGGTGGCACATGCCTGTAGTCCTAGCTACTCGGGAGGCTGAGGCAGAAGGATCACTTGAGCCTAGGAGTTTGAGGTTGCTGTGAGCTAGGCTGATGCCACAGCACCTAGCCTGGGCGACAGAGTGAGACTCTGTCTCAAAAAACAACAACAACAACAACAACAACAACAACAACAAATGTTTGGAGAGGTGTTTTTCTTTTTCCCCAGGGCCAAAATTTCTTGAGCACCCCACTTGCTCACTCACACCTCCATACAAACTTATGGAGTAGATTTTGCTGTTATCATCCCAGTTTTGCAGATAAGAAAATGAGGGTTCTAGACATTAAGTAATTTGCCCAGAGGTGGTACCTTGCTCACAAAGGCAGACCTCGAACCCAGATCAGCAAGTCCTGCCCAGTGTGCAGCCCAGCTGTACCCCAGATGCCTCAGGGGTGTGCAGGGGAAACTCAAGAAGGGGTGTTTCTGGGAGAGGAGTCAGGACGGAGGAGCCCCAGTGGGATGATGGTGAGAGCCCCCTCCTACTTTCTACCAAGAAAAGCCTGGGGCTGGGATGGGGTCCAAAAGAAGTGAAGAGGTGAGAGCTGTGAGGACGAAGTCACAGCACAGTATGGGGGTAGGGATCAAAGGCCTGCAAGCTAGGCATTTGGGGAGCCCAAAGGGGCCCCTTTTGCCTAATTACAGAAATCATACCTGGTTTCTCACCTAGTCACTTCCTGGAGGTGGGGGCGGAGGTGGGAGATGTTCAAAGGGATTCATGAGGCCTGTTCCTTTGAGAGGGATCCATTCACTCCACCCCCGCCCCCTTGGGGGCCTGTTCCTTTGCCTTGGCTCAGAACTGGGAGGTGCAGACGGGGCCTCGGACCCCTCTACAGACAGCCCGGCCTCCTGCCTGAAGAAATCTGCTGGTGAGTGGTTCAGGGGAGGTGCCAGGCTTGGCTGTGCTCCCAGGAGGGCACCGCCCAGCCCTGTGCACACGCACACACACACAGGCCCACACATGTTTCCCATCACAGCTTTGTTTCTACATTTTAACAAGGTGCCACACCTCCTCACCCCCCTGTAAACCAGGAGATGAGAGGCTGCGGGCACTGGGCCAGCAGGGAAGTGGGACAGGGTGGGGGCGCTGGCAGGGTTCACACCCCATCCTGCACATGCATGGGCAGCTGTGTACGTGCTCAGGTCTCTCTGGAACTGAGGTGCCTAGAGGTAGTGCCTGCCCTGGAGGTGGTCTCTGGGTCTGGGATCCTCTGTGGGGTGTCAGGTCTGAGTCCTGGAGGCTTCAACACAGGAAAGGTCCCTCCCCCACTCTCCCAGAGGCCAGGCAAGATCACTACTTGTCTCAGTGGCAGCTCCTGCTCTTCGCCCCTGTGTACAGTGGCTCCCCTCCCATACTCTCGCCAAAGAACCGCCCCCCCAGCCTCCCACGCAACATGGAGGTGTGGGGAGGGGGACAGCCATAGATCTGGACAGAAGGAAGTTTTCCAAGACGCCCCTACACACAGGGCAACATCCCCTCCTTTGCCCCACCCTGAAGGTCCAGGGGCCCTGGCAATGCAAGGCAACAGAAGATCCCCAAATCTTCTGGGGTTGGCCTCAAATTGTGGTCACCCATGTACTCTCTTCCTGTTTGGTGGCTCAAAGAGGAGCCTCCCTGGATTCCTAAAGAAGAAAGGCCCCTTCCCCTGCCTCTGGATAGAGGGAAGACCTGTGGCAATGGGCCCCCAAGCCCGGCCCTGGCAGCAGCCCCAGAGCAGTGTCTGCATCCCACAGGCTGCCACACCCTGTACCTGAGCTCCGTGAGCGTAGAGACCCTGACCGGTGCCCTGGCTGTGCAGAAGGCCATCTCCACCACCTTCGAGAGGGATGTCCTCCCCACGCCCACCGTGGTCCACTTCAAAGTCACGGAGCAGGGCATCACCCTGACCGATGTCCAGAGGAAGTAAGGGCCTTCCCTTGCCCTGGGGCTGCAGGGTGAGCAGAGCTGGAGGGGGTGGCTGAGACGGCCGTGGACCAGTAATGAAGGGAAAGTTTAGGGTCCTGGATCCAGTGGGAGTGGTGATGTGCTGAGCAACTCCAGGCAATTTGCCTGTCTTCTCTGGGCCTCACTCCAATGACCAAAGCCCCCCTGCCTGGTGACTGATGGAGATGGAATTAACTTGTATGCACTGGGTACTGATTAAGTCTGTACCCCTTGATGGAGTGCAGACTTCCACGGGCCAGACTCTGGCTGGCCAGTGGGACACAGAGTGGAAAGAGATCACACCTTCCCTGGGCCCAGGGACTCACAGTCTAGTGGAAACCTGATCCTGGGCTGGGAGAAACAAGAGGGAACCAAGATGTAATTCCTATCCTCAAAAGTTAAATGATGTGGTCGGGGGATGGTAGAAAAGCCCCATGTAGGGCACGAGGCAGATGCACTCTGGAGAGGAGGATGCACAAGCAGGCCAGCGGCGGGAAAGGTCACAGCAGGTGTACAGGGTCTACCGTGGAGGCTTCCTGGAGGCAGGACATGCCACTGAGCCAGGTCTCACCAGGTACCCTTCTCTCCCCGCCTCCTTCCAGGGTGTTTTTCCGGCGTCATTACCCCCTCACCACCCTCCGCTTCTGTGGCATGGACCCTGAACAACGGAAGTAAGTTCAAGGCTAGATCGAACTAAGAAGGCCATCCAGGGCCTGGCTGCCCAGCGGGTGTCCTAAGACTCTGGGACGGGGATCTCAGTGAGGGCCTGTGAGCCCCAAGGGGTTGGGGCAACAGAATGAGGGTCGGGACACAGCTGGCCAGTCCTCCCACACTCCTCCAGGGCCCTGTGGCATGGTACAAAGCCTCATCACTCAGCACCAGCTGTGTTCTTTTCCCACAGGTGGCAGAAGTACTGCAAGCCCTCCTGGTAAGTGCCTCTCATCCACACAGTTGCCACAAGAGCTGTCCCTGTGGCAGGGCCCCAGACCCACCAGAGGGAGGAGGGAGGCCCATCCTGACCTTAATAGCCCGTGACGTTGATGGGGACGCAGTCCTTGGTCCTCAGGAAACTCCCAGTCTGACGGGAGAGACTTTGATCCTGCCTGCAGAGAGCCTCCAGTATGATGGGGGAGACATGCCCCTGGGTGCCTTCAGTCTTACGCAAAAGGCACAGGCTCTAACCTCAGGGAGCCTCAATCTGTTGCAGTGCCCCAGTCTGATGGTCAAGATACATCCTTGTCCTCAGGGAGCTTCCACTCTAAAGGGAAATGCACAGGTTCTGTCCTCGGGAGCCCTCACTCAAGTGGAAGGAAACCAAGAGCATGAATGTGGGGATGTCCCAGCCTGGCAGGGGAGGCACCTCCTTCCTCAGGGAGCCTCCATGAAAGGAGGTGCTGGAGCCTGCTGGCTGGCAGAGGGACAGGGAGGGATGTGGTGCAGGCTGAGGCCCCCACCCCACTTCCATTAGCCCAATGCTTCCCTGAGCTCCCTCTCACTCAGACTGCCCTCCACCACAGGATCTTTGGGTTTGTGGCCAAGAGCCAGACGGAGCCCCAGGAGAATGTGTGCCACCTCTTCGCGGAGTATGACACAGTCCAGCCAGCTTCACAGGTCATCAGCCTGGTGGCTGCCCTGCTGCGGGATGCAGAAAGGATGTAGGGCAGGGAGCTGCCTGTGCACCTTCCGAGACATCTCCAGGGCTTGCCTGAGAGCCCACCTCCACCCCCTCAATGAGTGTGGCTGTGGCCACATGGACAGATCAATCTGTTGGACTGGAAGTGAACAGTATCAAGTTAAAACTCTTAAACCTGCTGTGACCTTCAGCAGTAACCTTCATCCAGAACCTCCTGGGCCTCAGTTTCCCCAACCATGAAAGGACCCCAAGAGACAAGGTCAGCTGTTCTCAGACTTTGGTGGGCATTTGAACATGCCCCTCCTTGATTCTGAAGGATACTCACATTCGACATTCAAGGACGCCTTCCTGAAAATAACCTCTGAGGACCCTCTGACCCCATCAGTGTGCCTGGATACTACTGACACAACAGTCTGACCAAGAGACCTGGGGCCCCTGGCAGACAGCAGGTGTTCTGTCAGAACCCACAGGGTTCCTGGCCTGAGGCGGGTGATGGTTAAGGATTGAGGACAGAACAGAGGATGGACGGACTCTATTTCCCTCTACATCTGTTCCTTTCCCCACTTTCCTAATGGCTTTTTGGGTGCACCTGCCCAGGATGCTGCAAGCCAACATGGCTGAAGTTGCTGGGGCAGCTCGGCAAGGGGGGATCTTTCCCCCATGGTCAGAGAAGACCCAGCTGTCCTCGCACTCGTGATGCCTAGTTGCAAATGAGTATCATCCCCATCTTTTCTTTCAATTTCTTGGTAAGAACAAGCTGATGGTTACCATAGCTGATGGTTAAAGCTGCCCTAGGGTTGCACATCTGGGGCTTGGAGTCAGAGACCCCAGTTCTCTAGAGCAGATATGAGGGCCATTTCTCTGTGGTTCTGCCTCAGTTTCAGTCTTACTGAGTCCCTCAACCCCCTGCCCTCGCCACCCCAACACACAACACACGCATGCACCCACACTCACACTCACACACAGGCCCCACCACCGCTGTGTGGTGTCAAATGGCCTCACAGCCACATGGGGGCAGCAGAGAGTCAAGAGTGCAAAGCTGCTGCCTCCTTCCTTCCCGGAGAGGCTAGGGAAGCTGGCGTTTTCCCGCCCCCCTCCTACCCCACCCAGCCCCCAGAAGCTGGAACCATGTGTCTAGCAAGCCTGGGTTCTTAAGGAAACCACTCCATGGGGGTGGAAGGGGAGGCTCAGGGAAAAAGCCCACTCTTGCTCTATGAAGAGCAAGTGCCTGCGCCCTCCCAGCAGCTAGCCCTGCCAAAGGAGCATTATCTTTGGCCAAGGTTGGGCCTGACGGGTTATGATTTCAACCCAGGAAACCAAACTGGACTGGAGCAGCCCTCGGCTGGTGGGAGAGGCTAAGGCCAGCCCACCCAGCCTGCGGTTGGGCACTGCCCCACCCCTTAAGTCTGCAGAACTGTTAGATGAGGTTCTCAAGGTCACAGTGCCCAATCCCAGCCTGGGAACTCCCAGGTGTGTAGCTCCCATGACAAAAAATAAAGCATCGATCTTTGCACAGTTGGTTCTGAGGCCTTCTGGGCTGTCCCCTCACAGATGGAGACCTGACTTGGCACGGAGTGTCTGTGTCTTAGAGAAGACCAGGCCTGTCATACTCCCACCCCACCCCCAGCCACGTGTCCAGCCACGCATGCTTAACACACCCATTTTTCTTTCTTCATGACCCCTTTCCTACCACTTTGCCAGGAAAACAGAAGGGCAGGGTTTCCCTGTGTCCAGGGGCTTAAAGTGAATATGTGGTACCCCTGGGGACCTGCTGGCTTCCAAGGTCCAGCTCAGCCTCCCTGAGGGCTGAGAAGAGGTGAGTGAACATGAGCAGCTCCAGAGGAGTCCACAGGAGTCCCTCAACCCACATGACCCCCAAGCTGCCAGCTCAGCCTGAAACAACTGGACAATGGTCTCTTCATGCCAGCCTGGGACCAGGGGAGTTCTACCCAGGCTCCTCCTCCCCTTCCCAGTCTTAGGGTAATGCCCCCTCCAGACCTGCAACTAGGGACCCAAGGTTGGCATGCCAGACAGTCTCACCAAATGGTGCAGGAGGGGGCTGCAGGGATATCAGCTTTCCTATAGAGCCTTAGGAATGGAGACCGTTCTTCTGTCTGGGCTAAGCCATGTGACCCTGTGGCAGAGACCTTCCAATGGGCTTGAACCCCTGTTAGGTAGCCCCTGACTCCCTTCCCACTGCCTAATTGCAGTTCCAGACTGGAATCCTCTCAGTCCCCTGCCCTGTCCCCCTCAGCCCAGCCACGGAGAGTCAGCAGAAGGTGATCATCTCTGCTGCATTTGCCTCAGCTCATCTTTCCCCTAAGATTTAGCAGAGAATTTGACTTGGGCTTTTGCTGATGGGCAGAACAGCTGGCCTAGCACGGGTGGGAGGGCTGGAGGGCAGAGGGAAGGAAGAACAGCTGCAGGAGCGAGGAGGGGAGGGGTCTTCACACCCATGCAGAGCATGCAGAGCTACCCGAGGAGTTTTCTCTCCAGCAGTTTCCAGGCCTTGTAGCCCTTGGTCTCAACCCCTGCTCCAGTCCCCGCTCCAGGGTTTCCCCTGCAACTCTTTCCATCCCTCCTCGTCCCTTTCTCCATTCCTGTATACACGTACCACCCACCTCCCTCGCCTTCCCTCCCCCAACTTCCCCCACTTCTCATCATACCCACCCACACCCAAGCCCACCCTCTCCTTAGAGAGAAACCTTCCCTCCCTCTTGCTCCTTTCCGATTTAATTCCTTTGCCCCTTTGTCCCAGGTGGCTGGACACACGGCAAGGTCCAGCTGCTGCTGAGGCTGATGTGAAGTGAGGAGGGCAGCCCCGTGCACTGAACAACCATCTCTCAAAACTCAGATTCCCACACCCCTAGGCCCTGCCTCCTCTCTGGCTACTAAACCCCTCCCCAGAGGCTGAAGCACCTGGCTCCTGCCCCCTTCTGAACAGTCACCTCCAGATTTGTGCTTTAAAATATGGCTGGGGAGGCAGGAGATGGGATCTTAGGTCTGGGATGGTTAGAGAGAAGGGAGCTGGGCTGAGGACTTAGAGTTCAGACCAGGGAAGGGATAAGAGCCTCAGAAGAAGGCCTCTCACCCTGACATAGGCCTGGGCAGGAGCCCGCCTGACCTGGGCCTGGGTCCTTGGTTCTCTCTGAGCTTGGAAGGACCATGTAGGAAAGAGCAGGACCAGGGATCCCCATTCCCCGTTGTATTAATCAGTCTTCTTGGGCTACCATTGGAAAAATACCATAGACTGGGTGGCTGAAATGACAGAGATTTATTTTCTCACAGTCTGGAGGCTGGAAGTCCAAGATCAGGGGCCATGATGGCTGGGTTCTGGTGGGGGCTCTCTCCCCGGCTTGCAGACGGCTGCCTTCTCACTGTGTGTCCACAAGGTCTTTCCTCAGTATGTGCACATGGTGAGACAGAGAGAGAGAGAGAGAGCTCCCTCTCTTCCTCTTCTTCTAAAGCCATCAATCCTACCTGATTAGGATCCTACCCTTATAACCTCATTTAATCTTACTTTCCTCAGAAAAGCCCTATCTCCAAATATAGTCACATTAGGGGTGAATACTTCAACATGTGAATTTGGGGGGACACCATTCAATCCATCGTACCCCTCCAAGCAAGGCCCTGCCCCAGTCATGTTCCCCTTCCCCCTAGCCCCCGACTCCTGGCCAGGCTGGAGCCCTCAGCCCCAGGAAAGCAGACCCTCCTCTTCCCGACTCTGCACTCTCCTGGCCAGCCAGGGGCTTGTTTTGTAACTCTCTGGTTCCTGGAAGGCATCTCAGCTGTTCACCTCTCCCCAGCTGGATCCAGCCAAGGGAGGCAAGTAGAGCTTGGCTTGGAGCAGACCTGGGGGGCGGGGAGACAAGCCAGGAGAAGGGAACCAGAGAGAGAGAACAGGAGCGGGAGGAGGAAGAGGGGGAATGACACATACTCACTCATTCACGCATTCAACAAATACGTGCTGAGCTCCATGTGAACCGTGCAGAATGAGGCAGACAGAGGTTGGGCGGGAGGAGGGAGTCTACATGTGCCCCCGGAAGCAATGTTCTCTCCTCCATGTCAGACTTGATGCCCCGTGAACACTGAAATAGGACATATCCTTAGTTCACCCCACTCCTACACACACACACACACACACACACACTTCCCTCTTCTGCATCAAGAATTAGAAACCTGGGTGGCCAGGCAGATCTGGGTGGCAGGTCCCCTCAGCCATTGGCTAGCTGCACAGTTCAGGGCAAGTCCCTTCTCTGGGCATTGAGCCTCAGTTTCCTCAATTATAACACCCACCTCACAAAATGAAGATTGTGGGAACTCTAAAAAGTATACCAGACATGAATGCACTTCATAGCCTGCGGAGCACTGTACAGATGCTCCTTATGAGAAGGATAGCAGTCCTACCAGCCTGTCACTGAGCACTCAATATGTGCCAAGCACTGTGTCACTGGAATGGGAGAAAGGGATGTGTCTTGTTCATGTCTTCTGCATGTCTTCCATGCAGAAAGGGATGTGTCTTGTTCACCTCTGAATCCTATAACGGTGTCTGGTACACATTAGGCATGCAGTATCTGTTTGGAGCTTTATCACACAATACCTTATTTTTTTTAAGAGACAAGGCCTTGCTCTGTCATTCAGGGTGGAGTGGAGTGGCATCATCAGAGCTCACTGCGGGCTTGAATTCCTGGGTTCAAGCGATCCTCCTGCCTCAGCCCCCTGAGTAGCTGGGACTACAGGCGCATGCACCACTATGCCTGGCTAATTTTTCTATTTTTTGTAGAGACGGGTCTCACTATGTTGCCCACGCTGGTCTGGAACTCCTGGCCTCAAATGATCCTCCCTCTTCAGCCTCCCAAAGTGCTGAGGTTACAGGTGTGAGCCACTGCAGCCGGCCCATATGTTACCTTATTTAATCTTGACTACAACACTCCATAAATACTATTATTTAACCTCATTTGATGGAAATGGAACTGTAGATTAGAAAATTAGATAAATTTCTCAAGGTTTGACCATAGTGACAGAGTAGGAGTCAAACCCAGACAATCTGGACCCAGACCCATGATGATGATGATGATGATGATGATGATGATGATGATGATGATGATGGAGGTGATAGCAGACATTTGGAGCCTATTGATCCAGAGGTCATCACATCAAATCCCCTGCCTCCAGGCACACCAGGACAGGGTTGTCTGTCACTCCTTCTGGTGTCTCTGCCAAACCCATCTTTTCCCATCAGGGACTTGGTCCCTCCACCCAATCTGGATCCCTAGCCCAGGATGCTCAAGATATTGAGAAAGTCACCCTTCTATCTTTCTACCTGAATGCTGGCATAACTCCCCTGTAATCTCCTACTCAGAATCATCTATCAGGACCAAGGATCAAAACCAAATGCTCCAAGCAAATTTACCTTCTCTTGCAGTGCCTGTAGCCTACCCTGTTAGGGCAAGCCTCATTTGTAGACCTGAGAAGCCTTCTTGGAAAGGACAGGGAACCCCAGGAAACCCCCCAGCTCCTTGTGGGTGGATGGGATGGGGAGAAGGAAAGGCAAAGAAACAGAGAGAGAAGGGAGAGAAAACAAAATACAGACAAAAAGAGACTGACAGAGCGTGGAGAAATAGACCAGAGGAGAAGCATTTGAGAAGAGAGAAACCCACAGAAAGGACAGGGCCAGAGGATGGGAGACCCAAACCAAGGCAAATCTACAGACACATTCCCTCTTCCAAAGAGAAGAAATGGGGCTACTAGGTGCCACAGGTACAGAGCACAGGAAGAAAGCATCTTTGGGCAGTCAGCACAAAGAGAGGGGCAGAAAACCTCTTTCTGCATTTATTCAGTAATCATTTAATATCTGCTGATGGCCTACTATATGTCTGGCACTGTGCTAGGCCTTAAAGATATGATTGGTACTCACCTATGCTAACAAATTATTTGTCATTTACCCAAAATTCACATGTAAGTAGATGTCCTGTGTTTTTATTTGCAACCCTGCCTGGAGTTACTGATGAATAAAACAGACATAGTTCCTGACTTCCTGAGCTTACTAAAATGAAGGACAAAGATACTGAATAGTTGTACTGTGAATGCCTAACTAAATGCTCTTCCGCTGAGAAGAGGCACATAGCTCTCTGAAATGAGACTTAGGAAAATTGACTTACTCAGGGAAGTCAGGGAGGGCTTCCCTGAGTAGATGATGATGGCTAAGATGAAAGCTGAAGGAAAGTCCATTGTCAGGGGGATTGTGGGTAGAGGAGGGCACTGGGCACATTAAAGGCAGAGTCGAGTGGAATGATACTGAGAAGTAAAATCCACAGGACTTACTGACAGAATGGGAGTGAGGAGTGAGGGAGAGGGGGATCTAGAAGGACTCCAAGTTTCTGGCCTGCAGGGATGAAAAAGTAGAAGCCTTTCCTGAAGTACACACAGCCAGGAGGGCCCAGCTTGGGATGGGGATGAGAATCTGAGTTCTGAGTCCAGATCCTGCCTCTCCACCCCACCCCTCCCACCAGCCGAGCAGGACTCTGAGATACCCCCATGAGGACCATCCTCCCAGACAGAGGCAACCAGATATGCTCTCCACATTGCCAAGCTGGTGACCAAACATGGTGGAGAAGAGGAAGTTGAACAGAAAACCACCCAGTGCCCTACTATGGGGGGAGAGGGTGCCCCTGAGCCCTCAGAAAATCTGCTTGGGACAGGGGTGTGGGGGGATCCCTGGTACCTCACCTCACTTCCTCCACTCCTTCTCTTCCCCAAAGACAGACAGCCTTGGATTTATGACAGAGCCCTTCCCGCACTGCATAGGGTGCATGGCAATGGCAGTGGAGGGTGAGCCTCAGGGTTCTGAGCAGAGGGTGGAGTGAAGTGGGGATAGGGGGTTGTGGGAAGACTCTGTCATTGGGGGGAAGGGAGATGAAGAGGAAAAAGAAAAGAGAGGGGAACACAAGCCTGTGAGACACAGGAAACTGAAAGATAAGAACCTCATAAAGAATTGGGACCAGAGCCATAGGAACCCACAGAAAGAGCAGAGAGAGAAGGATGTCTGAGTGTTGGCTTTCCTGCCTCACTGAGATCTCCTGTCTCAGGGAGCCTTCCCTGCCACCAGGGCTGTTCTTAGGACCCCACAGGGCTAGCACAGGAAGAGTGAGGAGAAAGGCAGAACTGAGCAGATGATCCCCCAGTCCCCTTATCAGAGGCCTTCAGCAACCACCCAGCACTGCCTCTACCCAGCTGCTTCCTGTTTCCTTTTTTAGTCATTTATTCATTCAACAAACACTCATTGAGCACCTACTATGTGCCAGGCTCTGGAGATTCAAGTTTCATTAAATGAAATGTATGTCTTTTAGAAAAACAGGGAAAAATATTTATGAAAAACATAATCCAGGAAATAAACAAATGTGATAGAAAAGTAAGGTGAGGGAGATATTTTACCTGGGATGGGCAGGGAAGGGTTGTCTTAGGAAGTAACTCTGCCTGAATGCTGACAGTGGAGGAGCCAGCCTTGTGAACAGCGGAGGCAGGTTGGATTCGGCTGAGGGAACGGCAAATGCAAAGTCCCTATGGCTGGAATGAGTCCTAACAAAAGGCTGGAGAAGA